GTCTTAATGGATTTTCCAGATACCTACTGTATTAGTTGAACTTGATGGAAGATAAAAATTTCTCCAAATTATCTTTTGCTGTCTTGCCCTTCTGTGACGCCCATGGCTGCCGTGCATCACAAAGCCAAGTGGCAGCAAATGCCACTGCTGTCACTGGCTGGGGACATCCAGAAGAGGTTGCCTAACACTTCTGGTGGTAAGCAGGTTGCATCTCTAAACCAGACCTGGACAGGTATCTGTGGGGTTCATTTCTGAACAGACTTGATGCCTCCTTGGTTGAGAGGAGAGTTTCTTACTCATCTCTTCAAGTTCAGAGACCCATCTAACAAAACATAGTGGTAAGGCTGGCTCTCCATCCATGTGAGTTGTCCATTAGGTGCAACAAGTCTCTTAATGCCCTTCTTTAAATGGGGATAAACTACATTTATGCCGCAGTGCAGTTCATTCACAAATGGACTGTATGGATTTGAAAATTCATTTGTTGTACCTGAGGAAATAATTGTTGCTTTGTGCTTCTCCCTGTCTCTGTGATGACAACCAAGTATTAGGAACACTTTAAAACCTCATTGGAAGAGGTCCAGGGGTTTTCTGAGAATACTGTTCATGGTTTGTTTAAGGTTATCAATTATATCTCAAATAAAAAGCTCTCTACAGATGATCATTGTACTGTACTTTGAACTCATTTAACTGGACATTATTTACAGAATATTTATCTTGGTTATGGCAGCTTTTGTCACACAGCGATATTACTTTTCCATTATATACTGCATGTGACCACCACATAAGTTTGATAACAAATGTTGGGAAATAAAAAACAGAGTAAGTGCCTCAGTATGATAGCAATTCCCATGTGATGGGAAATAATGTCATAAACTTCAAATTACCTTTTAAATAAATGTTTATGTCCAACCCATCCATTAGATCATAGCCCGAAGGGTCAGGAGGATCATTTCTTCATATTTCATTGTATGCATTATGATTGCTTTTTTAGGTGTAAATGATGTTTTTAAATGAAGAATGGCAGTGGAACTATACACAAACAACGGCTAGACATTACTGAGTCGCAGTACAGCAGAAATAGCCTCAGCCACTCGGCTAAATATAGAAGTGCAGCAGTAAATTGAATTCATTCTTAGAAAATATTTTTAATGGTGTACGTGCTGAGACGATACAGAAATAAAGCTTGTGTCATTCTCACAGTTTGCAGCTTTGACATTTTAGTCAAATTTAAATTCTAATTGTAGTTTGGTAGATGGCTGATTTGCTAAATGCTTATGAGAGTAAAGATTTTGGAGAGCGGGGAAGAGCATACCTGAGCGTACAGAGAAGAGTGCAAGTAACAGATATCATATTAATGAGGGTCTTAACATCTAGGTCTTTGTGCGCTTGTGCAGTGATGCCACCTCTGTAAGTGCCATGGGATGGTGTTTCCCTGAGAGCACCTGGTGTGAAACACCCCAGACACTGAGACCCCGCTATTCCCAGTGCCTTCCATAGGAAGGGGACATTGCTGACCATCTCAAGGATGAAGCAAACCCAGATCCCACATTTAGACATTTCCCTGCTCTGAGCTGGACCTCCCGAATCCATATGTCCTGGAGGAACCCATTTGGCTCCCCAAAATGCCCCACACATCAAAGCTTTGATACGTGGTGGTGTTAATTGTGTTATCCCTGCAGCACTAGGCTGAAAACCCAACTGGGAGCTGAAATGGTTGGGCTAACAGAGAGGTGGCTTTGAAGAAGCAGAGGCTGTAGGTTTCCTGAGACTGTTGATGTGCACATGGGGATGGGGCAGGTTCTTCAGCCTGGGCTGGGCTGGCTGGGAGTGGGGGACGGAACAGCTGTCAAGGGCCATTAGACCAATCTGGAAATAAATTCAAACAAAAAACTTCTGTTTACAGGCGGGGGAAAACCCATTGTCTTGGAGATTTAAAACACCAATCAAGAAATTCAGTAGTATTTTTGCTGCAACTATGATTTGACCTTCCTGTTTACATTAAACATTTTTTATGGCGGTGTGCAGTGACGTGGTTGCTTTGTTTAAGGTATTTGACAGTTAACAGCAGTTCTGGGAATAATTGTTTTGGTTCTATATATGTCAGGAAAGAAATACGTTAATACTTGAGATCAGGTTACTTTTTTTTTTTTAAACTTATTTATATTTGTTGTGTTTCTCTACTTTACCTTCTTTCATGAGGACCATGAACATGTTAAACTTAGTTTTAAAACATTTCTTAGTAACATATTAAATACTTTATGTCCAAAACATTCTTTTTAGTTGGAGGTTAATCTACTCTAGAACCAGTTGGCTATAGTATTGCTTCTTTTGTCATTATCATTTGTGTAAAAATGGTATATTAATTTCTTAGAGTTCACTTGATCCCGATTCTTTTTTGTTAGCAGAGGTCTATAATCCTTTCCACAGCAACCACTTGTAAAAGCAGAGGATTATGACTTGAGGCAGGATATGAGCAGCAGGAACAGATCAACTTAAAAACAAAGATCCTGTTTGAGTACAAATGCTATTGTTAGCACAGAGTTGGGGTGAGTCAAGTGGCAGGATGTCTACTAGAATATAATAAATTTGTATCTACGCCACATGGCATGCTAGCCAGAAGACACATCCTTTTAGCAGTTATGTGATAGACTACATATTTTTATACCTTTACTTATTATACTTTTGCCTAGTCCAATAAACCATTTGCTCTGAGAACGGCTGATATCTAAACATCTGAACAGCTTTTTGGTTTTGTGTAGATTTATTTTTCTGTCTAAAAAGTTTCCGCACTGTTATACTTTTCCCAAAATCTGCTAAAAGCAGGGATTTGAAATTACACTACCGCAAGGTCGTTCTGAGGTTAGTAATAGCCATTTTGGACTATTGCTATCTTTTCTTATGATGTGTATGACCCTTCAGAGAAAAGGAGAAGGAGGGATTTTTTTCTTTGTCCCTATATTTAAAAAAAAGAAACACAATAACATTTTTTCCTTTATTGAAAAGTGTTGGTTTTGATACTGATATTTTAACTGACCTATCTAACACTAATATATGTGACTCAATTTCAAAATATTTTTGCAGTTTAATTTTTTTCCTAATATTTTTCCTGTTAAGGTCAGTAGGAAGTAACAAAGGTACCAACTGACAGAAAACATTCTAGTCAAGTATGGAAAAAACCCTACTTTTTCTAAAAATTTTAAAAGTTTTTACATGGCATGGGTGAAACTAGTAAATACACAAAATGCAGTGATGGAGTCAGGTAGCAGTTTCATTTGGGACAGTCTGTACATTTATTCCAACAACTGACACCACATAAAAGGAGTAATCTGTGCTTCCCAAACTTCTGTTGACCGTATTTTTGTAATAGACAACAAAATAGATCCTGTTTATTTATGATATGAATTTTGCCTCAGTGTGCATGCGCGCATATATATATATATATATATATATAAAATATATATATACACAAAATCAAAAAAAAATAATATACATATGCATAAAATGTATTACACACCATAAAATAGTAAAATTCCACATAAGCATCTCTAATGGCAAGTCGAACAGAAGCTTTGGTAGAAGAAAATGTTTGGAGGGGTCTTTAATCATTGCCATGTGGTGGCAAGAGGAGACTCAATATAATGGTTTCAGTGGGTTTGTTTGCATGTTTGCTACTGAATGGATTAGGATCCCTCTTCAGTGTCCTGAAGTTTGCAAGGTTAAAAGAAAAAAACATAGTCTTAAAGTTATATTTCTAACTCCTGTCTGAAAAGAAGATTTTATTGCTTTTGATATATGGAGGTTTTCAGATCATCCTACTGATGGTACTTGGGCTGCAACTATATTATCAATGAATAAGGAAACAGAAGCCATGGCATTTCAACAGTATGAATTCTTCAGACTGTATTATTTTGTTAGCCTGAGGCAAGAGACTGTGCTCTTAGTACTCATCTGTGCAGAATGAGTAATCTGAGACAAATGTGTAACCACACCGCGTGTGCAATATGTCCAGATACTATGGACTAGCCAGTCTTGCTGTGCACCACAGGCAGCCAAGTATCTCTCATGGACAATAGACATATGTTAAAAAATGATAATTTTATTATACTGTCTGGGATTTCACCACACATAACTGATTCTAAAAGCATTATAACAATGACGGTGTAACTGTGGGTCTGTTTATCCGATTAGGGTCAGAATTTTACACTGCAAGGAGTTGGTTTTACCAGCAGAATTTTCTGTTACCTAACCAGAATTCTGTATTTTTGCGTGAATTCTATGCATCTGAATTCTATGCATTCTATGCAACTGAAAATATGTATTCCCGGTACGATCTGTTTCAATGTTTTAACGTGGCTTGCATTAGCGTGTGTGATAGCTTGAATTTTCTTTCTTTGCCAAAGCTGCTTAAACAATACAATGACAGATTTCTGCTTTTATTCTTCGTTAATGTCATTCTTCATCCTCTCTGCCCCACATCAGGGAGGAAGTGTTGTGAGTTTGCTATTTTAATGAAGAGAAACGAGGCATCTATCAACTAGGATTTATACTGGAGAGCACATCAATTCAGTTGCCTTGAGCTTGCTGAGTTTGCATATCCAGGGCCAAGCAGCGCTCTCAATTACTCCCGTGCAACCCCATTAACTTCAGGAGGTTGTGCAGTTCAAAAGTGGCTTCACAGAACGCCGGGCGGTATTAGGGGGAAAAAAGGCTATCTGTTCGAGAAGTCAAGCTCTAAAATATTATTTTTGGTTATCTAAAAGGAGATATGCGTGCAGTCATAATTACACTTTTGAAAGGTTAGGGTAGTCATTGTATAATAATTTCATTGAGTATTTCTTTGTAGATGTGCCTAACAGAACAGCCAGCCTCCCAAAAATCACGGCAGTGAGGGGGAAAACACTTCCAGCCCTAGAAACATATTGGAAATCATATGGCTTTTGTAGACTGTATCCTGTAATTACTCTTAACCGTAGGTTGTTTCTTCCTCTTTCTCTCTCTAGGAGCTATGTCGTCAGCGCATGGCAGTGAAAACATCTGATCGCCCGGAGCCCCTGCATGCTTCTCGAATAAATAGCGTTTCTTCACAATTTAGCGATGGGCCCATTCCCAGCCCCTCGGCCCGGAGCAGCACATCGTCCTGGTGTGAGGAGCCAGTCCAGTCCAACATGGACATCTCCACCGGTCACATGATCTTGGTAAGGCATTTTTGTCTTCACGGCACGAGAAATTTCATCAGAATTTAAGGTACCTGCTCAGCTTATGGAAAGAGATAACTTTTAAAGAAAGGGAAGCTGTATTTTCACAGGTAAAAAAAAACCTCCTGAGCTTTGTTGGTAATCTTAGCTTTGTATAATTAAAAGTAAAGGGATTTTTATTTCTATTTCTTTTTCATTATTTCGGGTTTTTTCCTCTCTGGGGCACATTCTTTTATCTTGGACATACGAATTGTTTGCGTGCTTGCTTTAAAAAAGATAAGCCCTCTGTTGTCCTTTTGTCCTATTAATTTATGTTTACCTCAGCTTGGACAACTGAAGAAAACTGCTAAATTTCTGATCAGCTTGCTGCTTTTTCTCATGTGTCTTCAGTGTGCGGAGGTATCTGAGCTGAGAAGGCAACAGAATATTAGTGATATGGAGCAATTTGTTTTCCATTACCCTTACAAAAGAAAAGGGATCTGAATTTTGAGCCTTGCCTGAATTTTATTGTCCTTGGATCTCTTCTATGTTTGGAATGATCCAAATACATTCTACTGATGGAGTCCGCATTGGAAAACTTGGGTTACTTCCAAACATGACTTGCGACCAGTGTCAGTGTAGAAGATGGACACTTGAAGATCTGTGTGGATGCAAGAATCAGAGTCCAATCACTGGGACTGGCAGCAGCTTGTTTCTGTCTCTCTGTTATCGTCCTGCTGGGAGAGCTGTAGAGAAATCCCCCACTTTTTGTGCCTTATTTTCCTTCTTTAAATATTTGCTGTCTTTGTAGAGTGCTTTGAAATTAGCTGAGAAGTTGTTAGGTGATGGTGAAGATGATGAGTCAGGTGTTATTTTGCTTTCTATATTTGATTTCTGCTATTTATTAGTATGGTTGATCTAAAGTAAGCACCCTGTCCAGTTGGTAATGTTGCTGTGCTTTTGGAAACTTCCCTGTTGATTTACTTACGCACCACTGAGAAGACACGCCAGTGCGGTCTCTCAGAAGAAAACTTCTCTCCACCATGCCACACTTTTGCGTCACATTTTTTCAACTTCTTTCTCTCTTTTTCTGGATTTATATTTGAAAGTACTATCTTCTCAGGTATTTTTCAAGTTCTTATAAGCCACCTCACACAATGGAGAGAGGAACGAAGGCAGGCAAAATCCAAAGAGCTAATTTGACCTCAGCCAAGTTACTGACCTCCTTCAGCCTCGATCAGGTCAGCTATAAAACTGAGCAAAAGCAGGGCAGGATTGTAAACCAGATGCTTCATCAACGTGTGTCATCCTGAGTAAATACTTCTTCCCATGCCTCTGCCTATTCCCCTGCAAAAAGGAGTTAATTAAGTATTATGTTAAAATCTGGTATACAAGTACAGTTTGGAAGGGTTGCTCCCATGACAGAAAATAATTTATTACAGTTTTTACTGTCCCACTTTTGCATAACCAGAATTGAAATTCACTTGATTTCCTTTCATAGTTAACTAAAATGCTTTGGGGAAAAAAGAACATCTCCAATTGCCCAACCTCAAAATAAGTACAAATTCCTGTCATAAACTTCTAAGGCAATATATTTGTGTGGAAGAGCAAAATTTCCTATGTAGATGGAAATATGCATTTAACATTTTCAAACAGTTTCAACTACTTTAAATTGAGCAAAATTGTTTTCAGTTATATTATTGGGAAAAATAAAAAATCACAAAGTTAAGCTTAAAAGAAAGAAAATTGCATATGGGAACCACTTATTCTGGCTCTGGGAAATTCTGCAAAATTGCAAGAAAGAATTGTCTTCATATGGCAATAAATAAACTTTAAAAAATAGCCAGATTGGTCAAGATCACTGTTATGGTGTTCAGTGTCCATAATTCAGTCAATCCTGTTTAACCCTGGATGAACTCATACATATGTTAGCTATCTAACAGCATATGTTATACCTTAGATGGTGAGGGTTCAAAGAAGGGTAAAAGAAATGCTGCAGTGTCTTGAGAGTATGAACCACACAGAGAGAGTAAAAATAGGTAATTTGTTTAGTCTAAACTGAACAAACAAAAATCAGTGATTCAGGGGAGTCTGCCTATGTGCTTTGAAATACAGGATGGGGAAAAATTGTTCTTAATGGATGCAGATGATAGAATTAGGAAGAAAATATGGGTTAGAATCCAAAGGATGCATTTAGCCTGGATATCAGGGCAAGCCTAATAGGAGGGTCAGGCAGGCAGTGGGATGTTTACTTATGGGAAGTAGTTAAACTGTAAATTCAAGATTTGCTGAAGGCGAAGCTAGGTTAGGTTTACATGGGAAGATCAGCATCGCTCAGCTACAGCACCGAAGCAGATGATTGGACTTGATCAGAAACGCTTGTGTTTTGTGTCACCGTGGGTCACGCTGAAACCAGAGAGCTGACCCAATTTATGTTTTGCTCAAAAATAAACGCACATATCTGCAATACCTTGTTTGCCTGAATTTCTCTCCCTCTGGAGATGCTGTGGCTTGTTGGACTTCAGCAACAGAAGAGGCTCGCTGGAGGTGAGCTTTTCCTCCTCTTGCCCTGCAGCTGCAAGTGGAGGAGAAGGAGGGGCCACTTCACAACTTTTATACTATTGAATACAAGAAGTTTTCCAGTTCTTCCCATTTCCTGCTGCCACAATCCTCTTATCTTTTAAATTTTGTAGATATTTTCCATGAAAAATATCTCAGTGCCTAAAAAAGCAACAAGAAATATTAGCAAGGGGCCTAGTAAGAATGGCAAATACCATCTGCTTTGCAGGGTAAATGCACTTACAGGTCTGTAAATGTGTTTTTCAGCTCCACAGTGTGCAGCAAAGTAGCAGTTAGCTGAGCTGGGGCTCCTCAGTCTTTATTGTTCATAGGTGCCAGGACCTCCCCAGAGAAAATAAAACAATGGCTTACTGTATAAAGCGGCACCAGGAAATATTTTATTTTGATTTATAAACAGAATAAATCTTTAATGAAAGAAGCTTAGAAGAAATGTGTCTGCAACTGCTGAATGACTCCGTGTAATCTTGCTCAGAGGTAGCGTTGGTCAGAAACATTTCTGTAAAGCTGTTTAATTTTCTGGAAAATGCTAGCAGGTTGTACCTGAAGTGATATCCAAGCCACCTCAGCTTTGGTTTTATTGGCGTTTGTGGTTGGCCACAGGTACTGTTTTCTTGAAGGACTGGCTACTTGTGGTTAGCCCATTGTTTATAGCACTCAAGGTCTGGAGAAATCAGGAATCTTCCAAACCCATGTGGCTGTGGGGCAGTCCCCTCACTTAGACTGAAACCAGCCTTTCAAAGAGAAAAAGCCTGCATTTCTGCCACTTTCCTGTACAGCAAAGACAATGTCTCTGCACTGCTGACAGCAGCATGAGGTAGTTTGTACTCTTGGCAGGAGGAAGCAGGGAGGACTCCGGAGGCCCAGAAGGACAGCGATAACAACATTCAGAGCTTTTTTTCCTTTTTCACGTTCTTTTTCCTCACATTTATAGCAGGAGGATGGCCCATATGGCACTTTTTGATTCTGTCTTTCTAAAAGATCCAAGCACTTTGGAAAGTGTAATTAGAGGAGGATGTTTTATGCAGTCATGTTTGTGGCGCTGACTGTCTGGTTTCAGCATGAGCAACAACAAAGAAGTGCCCTCATTTCGGTCACCGTTGGTTTTGCAAGAAAACAATTGTTTTTAGGAAGGTCACAGCAAGGAAAAGAGTAGGAACTCAGAATTAGATTTCCATCCACTTCATTCACATATGTACACCTATATTTCAAGTGTCAAGAGAAGTCCTAATAAAGTGCAATGCTTCCCTTTGCAGTCCAGCAAGAGAACCAGGGGGGGGTTTGAAGGTGTCCAGGAGAGATTTAGTCTCCCTGACTTGGACTCCTAACTTATACCTACATTTTAGGCACTTAATGAAGTGGTGTTGTTGACTTGAGTCCATAAACTTCCCTTCTCGTTGGTGAAGTGAGTGGGTGGCTATGAAGGTCTCCAGACAATTAGGCAGAGAGCGGATTTCTCTTGGGAGGCCTCCTGTTGTGCTTGCACTATCCCGTTGACGTCTGCAGCTTAGATGAAGGAGCATCTTTTGTTCATGCTGAAGCACAAGTTTAGCACATAAGTTAGGTAGATTGGATCCCACATCTGCTTCGTATATTGCCACGCTTGTTTGGTTAAAATAATTATAATCTTTTATGAGTTTTTAAATGAAGAACAGTACTGCAAGAAGGGAGCGTATGCTTCTGATGATAATATTTTGAGGTTGTTATCTGAATACCATATATGAGAGGGAATTTGCAGAAGCAGAAGTGATTTTCTGTGTTTTGGGTTTTTTTTTTCCTTGTGAAGACAGATGTGCAAAATTTGGAGCATTATACATAAATGAGAATTTCAGAAAGTGTGAATTTCAAAAAGGTCCTCTTCAGTACTTGTTTAAGCTGGAAGTCCAAAGCTTCTTCTCCTTGAGGGTATAAAACTGCTGTGTATATTGGAAATACTAATAGTCTGTAATAGTTTGTGCATACTGTACTTCTGAGAACAAGAAGAAACTTTCATAACTGGGCTGAACAAGGCAGTGAGAGCAAATGAACTAGACACTGAAATCTAGGGCCTCGCATGTGGGAGGTGTAAGTCCACTTGATCCCCTTGTCTTTGTCAATTCGCCTGCAAAACCAAAAGGACCTTTCCCATAGAGAAGTGGAGGATGGCCTCATATGAGAACTTTGTGTCAAAAGAAGGTTCTGGGACAGGTTGTGTCCCACCTGTGAGCACCTGTGAGCACCTCCTGGGACACAATCTGAGCTAGGGGCACATGGGACAGAGACCTGCTGCTGGGAAACCCAAGATGTTGAATTTTGCATCCAATTCAGTTTTGATGCTGAATCAGTGGCAGGGTTGCTGTGGGACTGAGAAGGGTAACAAGCAGGGAATAGTTTCCAAGGTTGAACCTGGGTATTTTGATAACATTGGTATCCTGTAGTCTCTGCACAGTAACTTTTTGATGGTT